CCTAACGGACAAGAAGCCAAGCCACACAATCAGGTTAAAACAAGCTGCACGTCAATAGCAAGATCAGTAGGTTCAGCGTATACAAGGTATCCATCGACCCAGGTTCAAATGTTGCAAATTAGGGGCTCAGAGGGCTTCGGGCAAAAAATCATCTTGTGGCACGGAATTGCAAAGCTACACTTTGTACTTTCTACGCGATACTTCACAGATAAGACGGGTGCCTCCACCTTTAAAGCGGCATGCCCAGGTGCTGAGTGGTACAGACGCAGCAGTGGCCTGGCAAAATCGATCGGGCTGTGCAAAGAGGACATGCGGAACAACCATGTGACAACGGAACATGATCGAATGACACAGTTGCATTCTTGATTGCCGCCTTTCATACAACTCGCCGGAAGAGGGTTGGATGTTGCCTTTACCGCAGTCGACTCGAAAACATGCAGCATTTTCGGACGCTAATTGTAAAGCTTGCGATTGAGGCTACAAAACTGCATGAGCAGATGCTATGCAGACGAAACACGACTGTTGTTAGCAAGCCAGTAATGATCAGTAATGTTGGTTCCAACCGATGCCGATTCATTTGTATGTGCCGAAACTCCTCCAAGTGGTGTCTCGGGCAGCATCGTAGTATCTGTAATCCGTCCATCTGCGACCGTATACCTTCATGCCATGAACTTCTAGGCTTAAATATGGAGCAGAGATGCCTGTCTCGTGTCTGGGGTTAAACTCTGTGATTTCGACGGACAACCAACACCGCGGAGTCCTGTTGGAGCCGTGTCATCTTTCGAGACATGCATGTGGCTGGAATGACAACCAGCGTGCAGAATGAGACACTGCGGGGTGCACACGTGAGCTTGGGAGAGTGTTTGCAGGCGCCGGCGTGTTTCTGTCATATATTCCTGTCTTTCACCAGCAAGAACAACATATAGCGAGAGCAAGTTCAAATGAACACGCTCAAAGCTGATAGTGGCAATGTCCGCATTGCTCCGAGGCAGGCGCGATCAATAACAGTAACCAACAAGTCCACACAGCTGATGGCTTTGATGGACCAAACCTTATGCCATATCAAGTACCCCAACCAACCTTAGGCCTAAACTGTGGGATTCCCGGTTTTCCTGCCAAGTACTCACACTGATCAGCAGTAGCGCGCGGTCTGCAACCCTGTTTTGACGCAAGATCAACCGGACCTCGGAAGACGTATCCCCGCCCAAATCCTGATAAGCTTACGTCTGAACATTCCTTGTTGCAACCGCTGACGCTTTCAAGCGTGTCTGCCCGCAACTCAAAAGTGCAAGGCTAAGGTTCCGGACGCGAGACTGATTTACAACTTCCGAAGCACCAAATTTCCAGAGCTACAACAACACAAAAACACACACACACACACACAAATGCCGCCAGGTGCCTGCAACCTGGTACTCAGGGCACAACTTGAACAACTTGCTCAGCACTGAAAGCCTCAACAGCCTGAACCCTCAGATCCTAAGACCGTGAACCCCTCGAAATCAACTCTACACCTTGAGCCCTGAACCCTACACTGTTGACTCACAGGAGTGAGGGCATAGCACCGACATATGTGGGGTTTCATAACATCAGGGATGCCAGCTTGAAGGTGCTTGTAATATCGAGCGCAGGTTAGAGGGTCGATGGTGGGGTATTTTGTTGAACCTCCCATACAGACAGCTTAAGTGGA